ATAATATGAAATTATTAATTGTACATAGATTAAAGGGTGTACTATTGAAAAGTAAGTCAATATCTTACTAATAGTTGTATCGATATTTGCATTGGAATAAGTGTGTGCTAATTATTGTATGGCATGGTCAATCTGGTGTAAGGTATATAGTGTAACCAACATGAAAATGTGTTGATGCTGTTTCTGCAATGAACACGGGAGTTATAATGAATTCGGAGATAAATGTCTCCATTGTTGCAAATCTGTTTGTAATCGATAATCTACTCCTATAACCCATAGCAGCTAAAGCGATACAGTTATCGTAAATTGCACATTGATGCAGATTGTGAAGGAGGGTACAAATTAATTCATTATTCGTTTAAACTATGCGTAGGTGTAATACCCCATACGATGCGTCAGGGTTAGAGTTAGTAACTAACTTCCATTAAACGTGTTTTTTTTTTGTCACAATAAAATTTACAAATTCTGATCAACATGACTACCCATTTTTTTAAACAAAGTTGCGTATCCAAGATTTATGCGAGCGTCCCTTCGAGTCTCTGCCTACACATAAATGTTATTTCGTCTACTGCATTGATTTGACATTGCCGGTAACAATATATATCACCTATCGTATTGCACGTTGCACTAATGTATGTATGTTCGCCAATTATAGAAGGCGTTTATCCGAATCAGTTGTCGATGCACAATTTATTCCCGAGTACCGTCAGGATATGACCACAATAGATGGCGCCCTTTAACCAGATATTGATTTGGGGGGGGGCAACCATTTCAGAAGTACGCCATTAGTGGACCATTCTACTAGTCACTGATTTAAATTTGAATTTTATCAGTAGACTATTCACGTGTTATCTATTTCCAAGTCATGTTATCTAAACAAATGCGCAGTATACTAGATATAAATGTATCATGTATGTTGAAATTGGAAGGGATAGAGCTGAATAACAGAGAAGCCGAAATGGTGTCTCACTGTTCAATTGTCTATAATCATGCTTCGTGAATGTTCGTGTTTTCATTTTATTATTGACTTGATATACGGGCCAAGTTGACGCTGTCACTAAGAACCATCAGAGATGTAACAGCAACAAACAATTTTCTTTCATCGTTGGTGGCGCCCCATATCACTGTTAGATTAGGTATGTATGTTATACTTTCGTTTTTATATGACAGATTTTGTTTTTTCATCGCGTCTTGTTCTGCTGTAATTGAGAACAATACAATGAATGCTCTGATTATAATGCGTTATGTTACGATGTGATCCATTCAACAACATACATGTCTTTTTAGCTAGCATGTTATTTTAGCTAATCTCATTAATTTAATTCGGTAATTCAAGATGTCGCTAATTTAAAATAGAGTATATTCTCACAATGAAATTGTTGGCACTTTAGCTAAATTAAGATTCAGTTAATTGATACATTGAGTCAAATTCGCTAAAATGGTATGTAGCTATTTAAACATGTTTTACAGTATTCTGTTTACGTTGTAATCAAGTAAACACTGAATATGACACAATAAATATTTTCATCATAATGCGTTTATTTGTATCACAACGCAGTAACCCAACAAATTGTTCCCAAAAATTAATGGGGGTTTCTTTTTATTCTAAAACTGTCATAAAACATTACTTTTTAATTTTAGATTTTCCATGAGATTTTTTTTTCTTTCCTTCTTTTTCTAAAACACTGAAAAAACATAAAACCGATGAATTACATGTTATTAATATAGACGCTATATTGCCAGACATGCGTATTTATTACTGAAACTTAAACAATTCGCCGCACACTAAAACAGTATTATATATACTATGCTAGTGTGCATTGACAGATTGATTTAGTAGTACGTACTAGTATTTCAATACGCAAACACATTGATTTAATAGTACGTACCATTATTTCAATGCGCAAGCAAATCGATTTAACATTATGTAACAGTTTTTCAATACACATGCACAATGATATAATAGTATGTACCAGTAGTTCAATTCGCATGCATATTGATTTAATAGTACGTACAAGTATTTCAATGCGTATGCACATTGATTTACTTGTACGTACCAGCATTTAAAAACACATGAACATTGATTTAATAGTACGTCCCAGTAAATCAATGTGCATTGATTTAATAGTGCGTACCAGTAAATCAATGTGCACTGATTTAATAGTACATATCATTATTTCCAAACGCATGTACATTGATTTATTCGTACATACCATATTTTAATACACATGCACAATAAATTTAATAGTACGTACTAGTATTTCAATACGCATGGACACTGATTTAATAATAAGTACCAGCATTTCAATATGCAAACACATTGGTTTAATAGTACGTACCAGTAATTCGATGGACACCATGGACATTAAATTAAGATTGTGTAGATGCCAAAGATTAAATATGTCCATACCAGTGCCACTTATTCGGTAGCAGGGGAATGGGAACATTTGTTTCGGTAATTTTTCTACATGTCTCCCAGTAGCTTCCTTGCTAGCATCCAGTATGAACTGTACTCAGTTATTGTTGGGGAATTAAATTCACCTGATGACACACGGTAATTGTAGTTATAACGTACGTGATTTATTAGTAGCACACATCAATCGATAGATGCAGTAAAATATGTGGAAATGAACTAACTAACTAATCTGAGGTGGCTGTACAACGACGAAGAACCAAGACGACCGACTAACGACTGGCAACAAAGAACTGGTCACCTTTACTTTTAAAGGCTGGGGCTCATGGACCAGTTCACGTCGCCATAAAAGTCCTGCACAATTCACAGGTCATCCCCACAATTTAATGCGTAAAAAGCGGCGTTTTCGATAGCCGTGATGGCCAAAATGGCGCAATAGTAAAATTAGCCGTCAGTAAATCTCTAAAACAAACATTTGTGCGGCTTATGCTAGTCGCTTATATCTAAGCTTTCAGATGGTTTATAGATTGTTACAGTAGCATGCTCAGTAACGTCACGGCGTGTAGAAAATGTCTGAATCACAAACATTTAGCTCGTTTTCCCTGTTAATACGTTTAAATTATCCACATGCGGTTTTATATAGGCCATGCATTGCTATTATGGTCGTTGAAACTATCATAGACCTGTATTTTAAGGTCTATGAATCTATATATGGATTGCGTCACGTTATAAACAACAAGTAGACCTATAGCGGTGTGAAGTTTATTCGTTAATTCCTATTCAACTTTGTTATTATCATGTCTTTACAATAGATCCGTCATACAGCTCCATCTGTAGTATCAACAGTATTGTTTATGCCCACGATGATATTTTGTGTGTGATTTTTTTTTAATCTTCCAGGGAACTTATTTGAAAACTTGCCGTTTATTTATTTAAAAAATAACATATATGTAAACATTATGTATGTATATATTATGTTTTATTTGGCATTTTCTTGGGTATATACTTAATTATTTTTGGGAAAAACGAAAACTGTTGTAAACATTTAAATGATATATTAATCTATAATTGGATGCGATGCAATTTTAATATAACAAGTCATATTTTCGTGATCATTTCAAATTTGGGACGGTGAAAGTCACTGCGATCGATTCTCGTGCTTTCGTAAAAGTAAGTAGTCAACAATCGTCAAAATTGATCGGTGAATAATTTCTAAGGTTATTATTATTCTGTGGAAAATGCATGTCCATTTGACGTTTAATACGCAAAACTAGCACCTAAATACACGAGAAGTTAACGTATAGATGAAGTGATTGTGACGTCATCAATCGGTATCCATAGGCTCAATGGGAAACCAATTATCGAAATCATCTTTCTTGAAACTTCTAGGTCTTCGAGTCAGATATCTACAGCAGCTACACAGTCTCTGGCAACAAATTATTCTCGACAACGAAAGACGAGATCTCGTGTGTGGTCCTAGAGTAAAAAAAAATCAGATTCGCTATATAGATGAATGGCAAAGAAATTTGTTTAAAGTTTCTGAGACTGTGATTGTACTCCGGTTACTTACTTGGCAGTAAAGGTTCTTCGTGTTCATCTTCAAATATGATTTCTTCATTCGATGTTTCAGTTGAGGATTGAGATGGGTTCCGTAGCAGAGACTTCACTACTTCCTTCCTTAGCCTGTCTTCGCCATTAGGTAACTCTTCATCACGCTGTTCGTTTTCAAATTTCACCTCGGAAAAACTTGTCGCGTTTTTCGATTCTTCGCTATAATTACTACCTTCGATTGATTCAGTTGATTGTTCTTCGTCTTGGAAGAAAAACACAAATATCAAGTCACAATTATTTACAATCTGCTCAAACTCTGTATCGAACTAGCATTCAAATTTTCTACATGTTCCCAGTGATTTGTTTTAGAGCCTGAGACGGTAAATTGTAAACTCTGCTGTCTTATTACTGGCGGTCCAATACGTCACAATAAATAACGTTCTGACAATGTCATCCCGTCTGCCATCTATGCACTGTTATTGGGAGGATATACTGCATTTTGACATAAAATCAGTGAAAACGTACAATGTCACGGATCTTATTATAACACTTACCATCCGAATTTGAGAATTTTTCATCACTGCTAATTCTCTCTTCATCTGGTGGCAGATTTTCATCCTTCATTTTTTCGATTTCCTAGATGAAATTATAATGAAATTACGAAATGAATTGTACTTTAATCATTAATACAACACCTTCAGCATGTGTTGTATGACTGGTATATGACAGGGCTTTATAAGTATATCTCATTAAAAAAGTTTGGGTCACCAGCCTGATTTTTTTAAAGAAAATGATGGATTATATTAAAATACACATAGTGGCTATTTTGTCAATATAACGCTTTTGCCATAGGTTTCGATGCAAGAGATATTATGCTATAGGCTGCAACATAGGGTGAACAAATACTATATTGTTAATGACGGGGCAATTATTCTGAATTATTTCAGAAATCTGGGTTTTAAAAGTGCTAAAAGCTGTAATTTTATTAGGACATTATTACATCAATGAATATTGTCATGAGATTTATGACCAACTTTCTCCAAAATTCACAGAAATGCAAATACCAATACCAAATATTTTGCAATAACTCCCGGGCAATATAAAAAGCTGCAGCCTAATTTTCCTGACAAAGATGGTTGTATATTACTGGGTATTTTGTGAGTATTAACAGGTTCCGATGGCAAAGATACTAGTACTATGACATATCTCAAAATCATACTGTGAATAATGGGGTACTTTTTATTGTCTTGTTTTATTTTAAAAACCTGGGATTTAAAAAGTGTCAAAAATAGGACAATTTTCTCAAAATACAATACTGTAACACACAAAAGAATTTGATGGTGCCATGAGACAATAGCTCTACCTTAACCGAAGTTATATTTCTATAAACAAGACATAAATGTCACAGTCCCCGTTATTTAATTATAAAATACTCATGTTAAAATAATACATGGAACATTTGCAAACAATTGAATTAATGTGTACTCTATGTGGGTGCAACTCCTCATAAAGTGATTTCCCTTAATCTGATAACTGAAAACTTTCATTGTACCCTGTCCAAAATCTCAGAGCACACAAGTGCAACCAAACTATGTCTCATAAATGCTCAAGAAACTGCATTCATAAATCTGAGTAAACCTTGATGTACTTTTAATAACAACTTCAATTCTTTAATATTAATTTAATATTACCATGACCTGGTTTTTTTTTTATTATCACCACTATAATTCCCATCAAAATGTAGCCCTGACACCCCTCAACATTTTCCACTGAGATTGGTAATGTTACGACCCATCTGTCACTGATTCAGATCAAGGTCATGACATCACTAAAACAATAGCATTACAATCTAAGCTAATCATTTATTATGAGTAGGGAGAGGGAATTTTGGATGCAAATCTTGAAAAAGACTCACTTTCACTCACTCATTTTCAGATCTGGAAAAAAAATTATGTTTTTCAAAAAAAAAAGTTTTTATTATTTTAAACAGTACATAATATGTAATAATAATTTTAAATTCATGAATATAAGGCATGCTGTAATTTCATAATTTTTGTGAATATTTTATGTAACACAAAGTGTTTTTGGTTTCTTAGTGACAGCTCTGTATTTTTGACATATAGTGCAAACTGAGTTTCTGTTTCTGAGTTTCATTTAGTTAGGTTCGAATACATTAGGTAAAACTTGTGAATCAGAAATCAGGACTTCATGAATCTGAATCTGAATTTAACAGAATCAATTATTCTGAAAATCTTGAAAAAGACCCACTTAGGATTTTCAGATCTGGAAAAAAAATTACGTGCATATGTAACACAGACTTGTTCATCAACCTGCCAAGTTTCATTGACATCTGCTGCAGAGTTTCTGAGAAAATGTGAGAGATAACTTGAAAATGAGAAAGAAAGTAAATCTAGTACTCCCCATTCAGGCTTCGCTTGAACGGGGACTGATAATACGCGAAAAGCACTGCTTACACATGAACCAACATTAAATATACTTACTTGAAATCTTCGAAAATAATCGTTCCTCTCTCTATTTCTGCCCAAAACGAGACACACTTTAGGAAGTAAGGTCTTCAAGTTAACCCAATCTGCACTTAAAGATTTACCAGATTTTACTAAGCACTCCTCCATGTTAAGAGCCTCGACCATGTGCGTTCTTGCTACATCGTATTTTTTCATGTTGAAGTAAATGTTCCCAACAAAGAAAATGCTACGGGCAGTATTAGGATGTGTCCCCAATAATTGCTTTCTATTATGCATAGCCCTCTCTGCATAAAATATAGCATCGTCATACCTGAAATGCAAAATATGTTGAAAGTATATTACTGATACATATTTGTTAGCTGTGCTTTATCTCACCCTGCATGATTAATTGATTAACGTGCCAATCTCCCAATTTTGAACTGTACTTCAATATGAGGTTTCTAGCTGCTGACGAGATCTCGTGACAATCAAATTTCGGAATTACATGATGACAAAGAACGCATTTCTGTCATTACTTACTGTGTA